GTGGACAACTAATTTCATTAACAACGTCTTAAATGCATATATCAAAAATGATACACAATTTCCAATTATGATGTTGATGCATTTACAACATGTCATTTACTGTAGTAGACAGCACCAATAAAAACCCTCATGGGTGAATTAACTGTGGGAAATACCCCATAATTTATTAGCCAATCATTTATTTTGATAACATTGAAAATAAGAATTTTACGGCCAATATTGAAATAGTCAATGATATATTGTGTATCACTACATTAATACTACAGCTATGTCTGCCACTTTTAAATCTGGACCTCTTCATGTCAACATGCCCAGCAGGCACACAACATCCTAAGATGTTAATATTAGGTTAGATTTAGATCATGACATCAGGTGACCAAAATTCAATGTCTAACCAGCGTTCAAGGACAACATTATTTTGACGTCCAATAATGACGTTAAATTACTTTGATATTTGGTTGATTTTAGATTGTGTTGGAAAATGACCAAAATCCAACATCTAATAGATATCATAGTGATAATATCCACACAGAGTCAAGGTGTAACCTGATTAGATGTTGATATTTGGTTGATTTTAGGTTGGACATTGGACATTGATGTCGGTCTGATGTTAGGTTCTGACATCAACCCGATTTTTATTTCCAAACATAATCCAACATCCCCACAACGTTGGGGAAATAGGTCAGCATCATGTCATGTTCATGTCCTGTGCCTGTGGGGTGGATTCTGATTGGCTAATTTACTTTTTTTGGCATGACTGCTGTGGACTCTCACTTTTACAAAGAATTGAAAAACTGTATATAATTTATCATTACAGCTATCATTCTTGTTCTGAATTGACCTTCAAACAAAACTCTGACTTGAAATGATAAAACCCTGAATTAAACTTTAAATTATGTATAATGTTCTTGACTGAGGAAAGGGAAATTAATTTGCATATACTAGCAATTTTCCCCAGAGACCCCAGATTATTAAAGGGACTAAGCCGACAAGAAAATGAATGAATGAATGAATACACCAGCAATAATACATGCATAGATTAGATTTTCTTTCTCTTTCTCTCTCTCTCTCTCTCTCTCTCTATATATATATATATATATAAACACCATGTCTCAAAAAAAAAACAATAATCATACAAACAATATCATACAAAAATAAAACTGCTCATCATGCTATAGGAAAAAAGATGACTAAAGTTCATTAACAGCACAATCTGTGCATTAGCATAATCCTTTTTTTTACTGTCCTTGGCGATGACGTAATGATGACGTATTTGTTTTTAGCTGCGTAAGGCTTTCGAATAAAGATAAGAGTTTGATCAAAGGTTTACAAGAACTGAAAGGCTACAGTGCTTCATGTTTTATTTATGATTTTCCGACTAAAAACTGGACAAAAGGTGGATTTGAAGCTGAAATTTTGTATAACATTACTGAAAATATTTATACATATAATATAATATTTTTATACTATATATTAGTATTTCTATATTCTCAAATAGATAACACTGCTGATTATATATATATATATATATATATATATATATATATATATATATATATATATATATATATATATATAAAATCAAACAAACACACACACACACACACGTTTGTTTTTGTGAAAAGGGAGGACATTACATAGGTTTCCATTTATTTTCTACTGTCCAAACCGTATATTGTATTGCCCTCACCCCACAGCACCCCTAAACCCAACCATCACAGGAGACTGTGTGCAGCTTTACTCTCTGATTAAACTCATCCTGTGGGATTTATAAGCATTTTGAGAAATGAGGATGTCACCAATGTCCTCATATTTCACCTCCTTTTTGTAATACCTGTGTCATACCCATGTGATGTCATTATACAGATTTGTGTCCTGATATGTCACAAAAACACGTACACACACACACATTTATATTGTCAAAAATAATTGTAACAGTATAATTTAGTAGTAATAAAAATGTTGGTTATCAAAAACTCAAGTGACTACTTATTGATTGTTTAGAATATGAACTACAAACTCTTTCTAACAAACTGTAAAGGCAACTTAACTAACTGTAAAGGCAAATGAATCAATAAATTATTTCTAATCTCTATATCATAAAAAGCACAAAATAGTCATTCGTTTCAGCTCTAATTAAGCATGGCGAATAATAATGCCTTCTAGGATGCCCTACAAAAGGCAGCACTTCGTAAAGTACAAAAAAAAGGCCTGTGAAATCCATCTGTTGAGGTTTTAATTCCTAGAATATTACACCACAGCAAAAGCGATTCCCATCACAGGTTTTGAGAATCTGTTTAAATGCGAGTGGGGAAGGCAAACCCATCTGCCGGTTCAGTCAGCTGTTCAAAAGTGTGCGCATGCAAGGCTGTGGGTACAAATGCACCCGCTGACCCTCTAAATGTGAGGCGAGAGCTGAGGCTCGTACCTGGAGGATGTGGCAGATACGCTCCGAGTAGTTTTGACCTCTTCTTCTCATATCCCTTCTGAGTGATGTCACCTGCAAAAGAGCATGAAAGAGAAAAAAAATCAGAAAATGCAAACATAAAAATAAACCACAATTGCTTAAAGGGACAGTTCACCCCAAAATAAAAATGTAATTTAATCATCCTTAAAGGTCCCTGAAGTGTTTTGGAATGTGCATTTTTATTTGATGTTTGAAGTAATCTCAACTGAAACATGAAGAGAGGGTGGGATATAGTGTAGCTCCTCCCCTTTAAAAAAACAGCCAATAGCGTTTTGTTTTATCAACGCTGTGCCAGTGAGAGTGGTTGAGCTCAAGCGAATCAAATGAGAAGTGTCTTGAACGGGGTGGGGCATGTCAAATACAAGAGAGCATTTTATTGGTTATGATTTGATGAGAAACTGAAGTTTGAGGGGACTTGAATAAAAACGCTGATTCATTTAGGAGGAAGTAACAAACTACAAGCTTTACATGTTTATAACAGTTTTATATCCTCTAAACATGACTAGCTTATAGATATACTAAAAACCTTTATTTTAATTTATTGGGACCTTTAATGGTTACAAATCATTAAATTTTCTCCAGTTTTTTTTTTCTACTATGGAAGTCAATTGCTACGTTTTACCAACATTTATCAAAATACCTTCTTTTTTGTTTAATTAAAGAAAGAAATTCAAGTAAAGCATGTAAATGATGAGTTTAAGTGTATTGTAACACTTAACCAACCAACTTAACACCACATCTCCTGTTTTTAGTTTGAAAAACATAAAATATTTAAATGTATAGTTACTATTATCTTTTATGTAAGGTTTTTTTTGGGGGGGGGGGGGGGGGCGGGGATGTAGATCTCTGAGGAAACCATTTGCATGGTGTGGGTGACAGAGAGCACATCCTGTAATGATTAATGTAACGAGGTTTTGTGAGTTGTCACAAAGCATTAGCACACTGGGTCGTCACATTTGCGTGGAAATTAAAAAAGATCTGGTGCATAACGGGAGAGCAGCGGAGACTCAACGAGCGACAGAAGAACTAAATGAGAAAGCAACGATGAATCAATAGTTCTTTTATAAACCTAGCGAGACATCTTGCTGTCTACATAGGCATCTGCTCTTTAAGGTAGAAACATATCTGGGATTAAAAATTATTCCAACACAGAAACAATAATCCTCATGCAAAGCTCACATTCATTAATTTGTTGTTAGCGGGTTATCATGCTAAAACTGCTAAACAAATCATTAAAACACATCCCACAACCACATATTATGCACACTATGCCATATTATTTATTATTTATACTCTGAAATTATGGCAAACAATTTATATGGGTTGAATTTAAATAAACAAATAAAATAAACAAATAAATTTTTAGTAATGTTCAACTTAATGTGTTGGTTTAAATCCAGCCCAAATAAATGGTTTACAACCACTTAACTTACAAAAAATAATTAAATCCATGGATTTTCAGTGTATAACATGCGCCAGAGCCATTTTAATTGTGCATCCATTACACCCTAGGATAATTTCAAATATTTTTTCATATTTTTCAAAACTTCTAAAATCGTCTTATACAATGTAAAAAAAATGCAGGGTTCTACACAATTCATTCAAGTTGTCCCAGCACAAATTGATTAAGTTAACAAATTTATGTGGATTGAACATAAAAAAATTAAGTTGTCCCAATAAAGCCTCAAGAATTGTGTTGTTTCAGCTAATTTAAAATAAGTAGTTTGAACGAGCAAAAAATATATATACTTTTGAGTGTAGATATTGAAGCTGCGTTTACTTGATACTTTTGATACTTTTTGATATTTTAAAAACAGTCAAATAGAGATTTAACATTAAATAGTGTAAGAATGAACTGCACTCTATTTTAACATATTCTAAAATGCAAGCTATCCCTGCAATAGCAAAGTACTTATTTATCTTCAGTGTGACAATATCTTTCAGAAATGATTATAATTTAAGGATTTGCCGCTCCAAAATTCTTTATTAATATCACAAATGTGCTATTAGAGATGTCTTTTTCAGGATTCACTTTTATTGGTGTATTGAATGGATTGTGATCTGTAAAAAATACTGGGTTCCACACCATACCTTCATGTTGTCCCAACACATATAGATTAAGTTAATCAAATCATTTCTACAAATTTAAGTGGAATGAGCATAAAAGAATTAAGTTGCACCCCCCCCCCCCCCAAAAAAAAAAAAAATACTTTTAACTCATTTTAAATAAGTAGTTTGAACAAGCAGAACAACTCATTTTTGAGTGTAGTTTATTGAGTGCTGTATTGAATTCTCAATAATAAATACATTAATTCTTATCAAAAAACTCCGCAAAATACAGTAGGATATTGGAAAAATTAGACATTGCTATTCTGCGATATATATTGCAATATGAATACAATTTCAATAGATGAGTTGGATAAATGTTTTTAAAGAATCTATCATTTTAGACTGATTAGGGAGATTCTGTAGGGGTGTGCATAAAAACAATAAACAATCTACAAGCATAGAGGAATTCAATAAAGGAAAATATGCCAATTAAACCACGTTTTAATGTTTTCTGAAGAGTCTAAATGTATTTAGGTATACAGTATTTGAATAATCAAATGTAAAATAATACTGCATAGTCTTTGTTTTATAAACAATTACATAAAATGAAGTGTTATTAATTTTTCAAGGTTAGAAATGGTACATTTTCTCATGCCTGAATACTTTTAAAACCCTTAACATTGCAGTCTTAACATTGCATAAACTTGCTATGTGGCTTTAGTGAATGATCACATTGCGATATCGATATTGAAACAATATATTGTGCAGCTCTACTAGGTAGGCAAATCCAGCATGTTTTGAAATCTCCTCACGCTTGATACCTCGTTTGTAACTCAGTCGTTCCAACACCTCCCAACCTACTCCGAGCTGGGATCGAACAGACGACCTTTCGCATAGGAAGCGGTTGCTCTACCAAGGAGGCTAAAGACCATGGCCTCCAGCGTCTGTTGGCACCTTTAGAGGTCAGAGGAGTGAGGTTTACCTGCACAGCACTTAACTAGCTGGCTTCCATTACACTCACCCCCTAAACCTCACTCCCATCCAGGTCACGGCACCAACATAAACCTGCCGCTCCTACACCACCTAACCAGCTTCGAGCTAGAATTTAATGGGTGACCTTCCACATGGGAGTCGGTTGCTCTACCAAGGAGGCTAAAAACCATGGCGTCAAAGTTACACTTTAATCAACATAATCACATTCCCACATGTAATAAATTTCCTAATGAACACCCACTGTTTGGATCCTACAAAGACAGTTAGTAGTGACAGTGAAGGCTGTTTTTTCCTTTATAACCACCAATAAAAATGGCTGGCAGGCTAAAGGCCTGATGAGGAGGAGGATGAAGGGGGCTTTGGGATGAAAGAACAGCAGAAGCCGAAAGAAAAAGGTTTTTTTTTTTTCTTTTTTTAAACAGAGACTGGATGATTCATTTCCTCACACCCACTTGCCGCCAATCAAACGGCCTTATGAGGTGGTTTCTGCTTAGGAGATTCATACCGTTGCCTGTCCTTATCTCGCTTACTTATTCTTCCCTTCTCTCTCACTCACACTCACACACACAAACTCTTGCTGTCTTGTTCTCTCCTTGTCCTTCCCTGAGGGACGAGTCTCTCATAAATTTTGACACCTCTGCCTAAGTCTGTAACCATTAAAAGCAAGAAAAAAGGAGGGTGTGTGGTGAAGACAGTGTAAATGAGGGCGACAGCAATGACAAGCAGCGATCGGACAGTTTTCTCCAGGTGTGTGACATGCTGCTGTTTTATCCACCGGGGGTGTGACGTTGGCTACATTTCTTGCATGCATGAAGGCTGCCAACCCAAAACATGTCCAACCAAACAAAGAGCAGCTGTCAGACTTGTTGCGTACGCGGCGGTCTCGTATTTTCTGAAAAACGAAGCAGATGTACAAACAACATCAAGATTTGTATAGAACATAATATTTTGCTAATTAGCGAAATTTTCTATGGCAATCACAGTAATTTTCTGAGATTTCAGAGATGCAGCGATCTTGATTGTTTTATGACTGATTGCTGATTTTTCACAGGCAAATTGGGCACATTGGGGCGATTGACAGAAAGATGCTTCATACATTTTAGCATGAGGAAGTTAGTCATTTATATTAGATGATCTGATGTCAAAATATACATTCAAACCTGACTTAAACTTTGGAAAACCAAATAAAGCATATCTTCACAAAGCAAAAAATAATAAACAGGCTGAATAAAAATGCTAATTCAGTGTCTTCCAGTAGGTGGCGCTTACAGAACAAAAGAAATAGCAACACCTCCTTGGTTAGTAAACAAAGAAGCTGTGCTGGAATTTGACAGGCATTATGTAAGGAATAATTGATGACAGGCTATTGAATTAATAGGTTCTGTTTACACAAAACGTGTTTTGTTTTAATTCAGCGCTTTAGAATAAAAACGCCCATCGTCCAGACTGATTTTTTAATTGTTTTTTAGAAAAACAATCTACTCACTATACAGGCTAAAACATATGATTCGTCATTAATCATGCTCACAGGGCATGCATACATTTTGCTGGCGTCTGCACTGCCAGTCTTGTACCAGTTGTGTAACTATCATAGGAGATGAACGAATCAAGGAATGAAACGCAAAACTAAATCAGAGAGTAATTATAGATAACCACACCTCCACTTTCAAAACGTTGTGCTTCAGACTGCCTAAAAAAAGGAATACAAACATATCAAAAGGAAAACAGGGTCTTTTAACATTTTTAAAAGATCCTTCTTCACAAGCTTAAGATGCTGGAGTAGTGTGGACGATTTATTTTATTATTTTATTTAATATTTTAATATAAAAATATATATTATAATGTTTTAGCTGAATCAAATTAACTTTTTTTGTCATCTCAACTTACATTAATCAAACTGACTAAAGTATTAATATTAAAATATTAAACTTATTTGTATAACTTTAAAAAGTTTAGTTATGTTGGTGCAATAGCCTAGTGGTTAGCGCGTC